CATAATCTGTCCCCTACTCAAAGTAAGCTTGATCCTCGGACTATTCCTTGTGTTTTTCTTGGTTACCCTTTATCTCAAAAGGGGTATCGCTGTTATGATCCTACCTCTCGCAAATACTATGTCTCTATTGATGTACCCTTCTTTGAGAATCAACATTTTTTCTCGATTTCTCCTCAGGGGGAGAGTAGGGTTGAGGAGAAACAGGCGACTCAAACTCAACTACCACCTTTACCCGATCTCCTTCATTCCGGGTTTTTCATCGTCGCCATAAAAGCCAACAAAGTTCAACAGCCGTGGAACCTGACACTATGCAACCAACATCATCGGATTCACCCGAGGCAGATCCGTCTCATCAACCAAGTACACTTGCTCCTATTGATATGTTTGTTCCTCTAAATGTTGATTCACCTGTCATCAATGATCTTAATATTCCTATTACTAAGAGAAAGGGTGTTAGGTATTGTACCACTAATCATCTTGTCTCTAATTTTGTGTCCTATGATCATGTTTCACCTTCATACCGTGCATTCCTCTCTTCTGTGGGCAGTGTCCCCGTTCCTAAGAATGTGGCAGAAGCTTTGTCTAAGCCTGAATGGGCAGATGCAATGTAGGAAGAAATTAATGCTCTACACAAAAATGGCACTTGGGAGTTGGTGAACCTTCCTGAAGGGAAGGAATCAGTGGGTTGCAAGTGGGTGTTCATAGTGAAATATAAGGCTGATGGAACTGTTGAAAGGTACAAAGCTAGACTGGTAGCAAGGGGCTTTACACAGGTATATAGAGTGGACTAAGCGGAGACTTTTGCTCCAATAGTCAAGATGAACTCTATCAGGATTCTTCTTTCATTGGTAGCAAATCTTGATTGGGAACTTCACCAATTAGACATCAAAAATACTTTCTTGAATGGTGACTTGGAAGAGGAAGTATACATGACTCAACCTCCAGGGTTCTGTGCCAAAGGCAGTGAAAAAAGGTGTACAGGTTAAAAAAATCTTTATATGGGTTGAAACAATCACCTCGGGCTTGGTTTAGTAAGTTTCATTTAGCAGTTCAACAGATGGGGTTCAAACAATGCCAGTCAAATCACACTCTATTTGTGAAAAGAGGTGAAGGGAAAATTGCAGCTCTTATTATGTATGTGGATGACAKAGTGATCACAGGAGATTGGGAGACTGAAGTATGGAGACTACAAGAATTCTTAGCCACTCAATTTGAGGTGAAAGATCTAGGCCCCTTACGTTATTTCCTTGGAATTGAAGTTGTCCTCTCTCACAAGGGCATCTTTATTTCCCAACGGAAATATGTACTAGATCTACTAGAAGATACAGGCAAGTTGGGGGTAAAACCAATTGATTCATTAATTGAATCTAATCATCATCTAGGAGACAATCAGGGAGAGTTTTTGAAAGATGTGAAGAAGTTCCAGAGACTTGTGGGGAGACTTTTGTATTTGTCTATGACCARGCCTGATATTGCCTATGCAGTGGRTGTCCTTAGTCAATTCATGCACAACCCTAGGACAACTCACTTTGAAGCTGCAGAGAGGATCTTGAGATACCTCAAGAAGTTTCTCGGAGCTGGTTTGTTGTTACAGAAACATGGTCACTTAAAGGTGGAAGTATATACTGATGCAGATTGGGCAGGAGCAGTCAATGACTGAAAGTCTACCAGTGGGTATTGTGCTTTTGTAGGAGGAAACCTAGTCACATGGAGAAGTAAAAAACAAAGTATGGTGGCTAGATCTAGTGCTGAAGCAGAGTATAGAGCGATGGCTCATGGGGTTGCTGAAATCATGTGGATAAGAAATCTGTTAGGTGAACTGGGGTTTGCACTGAGCAATTCTATGTCACTCTACTGTGACAATAAAGCTGCCATCAATATTGCTGCTAATCCAGTCCTGCATGATAGGACGAAACACATTGAAGTGGACAGGCATTTCATTAGAGAGAAACTTGAAAATGGAGAAGTGTGCACTCCATATGTCAGTTCAGAAGAACAACTTGTACATATCTTCACCAAAGTTCTTCATCATGTGCGGCACAAAGATTTGTGTGACAAGTTGGSCATGATTGACATCTATGCTCCAACTTGAGGGGGAGTGTTGAAATAATTTAGTTGTTGGTGTTAGGGTTTGTTTGGCTAATTAAAGTGTTTTTATTTCTATTTTTTCACTTCTGTTATGTCTGTTATTGTACTCACTTATAGTAGGGGCACAAGGGTCTTTTCCCTTCTTATTTCTGCCGCCTTATATATATATATATATATATTATAATAAAGCTGGTGCCGCCAGCACTGTTACATTGCAAAATCTCTTCTCTTCCCTTCTCCCTTCTCTCTTCTTCTTCTCTTCTCTTCTCTTCCTCTTATTTCTGGTCGGCCATACTGTCAAGAAAACTCGAATGGCTTTATTTATGGTTAAAAAAGGAAATTAAGAAAAATGGAAAAGAATTTAATGGGAGAGTGGATTAGGCGATTAACAACACAACTTGCATTCGAGGCTATTTAACCGATAATATCACTCATGTTGGCCATCGTTGTAAATGCCCCATCCAATGATCCAATATTTGTTTGCATGGCTGACGTGAGGCATTATTATCCGTTGGACAACCCCTAACACAGTAGCCAACAAGTGTAGCTAAATCTAATCAGGCTCAACGACAAATAGCCATCTCAAATGCCACGTCATTGGACTAACTGATGGTGGCCCAGTTGATTAATTTCTTAAATGCCACGTCTTGGGGTCAAATCCCGCTACCACCTTCCAGTAAGGTTGGGTTGGGGGTACGAGTATTACCCATATGGGCGACCCCCTTCCAGTAAGGTTCAAAATTTTGAAATGTATTAGCCAATGCGTATCGTATTGAGAGCTTTCTGATATGTTCCTATAGGAGATATTTCAGGGTTTAACCCGATTCAGGGGGTAGACAAGCCTTAAACAGACCCATTTGAACTAGGTTTAAAAAAAAACTAAAAAAATAGAGAAGCAAGCCCCAATAAAGTCCAATACCTACAAGCATATCGGGTTGTATCGATATTTTGAACCTTGCCTCCTAGGTTGTGTAGTTTGTGATAGGTATCTCTTGAGTCTTGAGAGAACAGATTAACTGAATTGACCTAAAGTGTATGTGACCTACAACCAGTAAACACATAGAGCTCGGATCTCCTGCACTCGCTTTTGGTGTATGATGAAGTGCACTTCCATTCAAGTTTTTATAGGTCAGGCATGCATGAGCTTGAGATCTCACATGTGTGAAGTTATTATAAGGTGTGATTGCCCTTGTCCTTTTATCCTATTTTCTCATTTTGTTTTCAAATGAAAACAAAAGGGAAAAACCCTGGCTCTTCTTCTTCGTCAACCAGGAAAAATTCCTACGTTGCAGAGGCTTGACCTATGTTTATCTCTTGACCCCAATAACCACTCTCTGGTGCTGCAGATAATTTCCAAGGTCTTGTGGGTCTTCGATTTAAACATTGCTGGTTTTTATAAGTGAATGATTTAGACACTGGGAACGGCCATGAATAGTGGATTTGAAATAGAACCTCGATTCCTAACCACGTCAACCCAAAAGTGTAAGCCGTAACGGGCTTAAGAAATTGGATTCATATTATAATGATATATTGTTTGGTAAAGATTTTGTTTCTATAAGACAAGAGGGATGCAACAGCCATACTGGTTTCTATGCTCAAAATCTGCAGACTTTCGGACATTCTACGGTGTTGTGGGTTGAGATGGTCTATTTTTGAGTTTCCCTACAAGCTCTCTACCTTAAGATTTGGGCATCCTAGAAATTCATGGAAAGTGTTATTTAAGGGATGAGCTGTTCAAGAGAACCAATTCATCATATGCTAGGATTCAAATGAAATTGTATATAAACCCCTCCAGGGCCTCCACTCTGTGGAATTGAACGCAGATGCTTCTGTTTAAATCATAAAAAAAATAATGATCCGCAGTTTCCTACCCTTTGTTAAGAATCATGCTAATCAGTTTTTATGAACTTCCAAAATTATTCAAAAGGGAAAATATGTCTTCTCATTTTTTGCAGAGTAATAGGAGATGATAGTTTTGAAGCACCTCTGTTCCAATTGATAAGATATTAAGATCTAAAAACTCGACTCAACTTATTAAAGTTTTTTTTTTCATAATTTCTCTTTCCACTCAAGCTTCTTGGTACGATTTCTGTTCTTGTTCCTGCCCCTACTGAAGAAGAAGAAGAAGAAGAAAGGGTTTCTCTACAATCATTTTCCTTTGTTTCCATTGTTTTTGGAAATGGATGGATAAATTGTATATTTTTTTTCATTTTTACTTTTATTTTATATTTAAAAATAAGAAAATAGGAATGAAGAGAAGGCACGACCATGCCGTTGAATAACTTTGCACATGTGAAGATTTGAATTTGTGTTGGCTGTTGTGTAAAATCTTGAATGGAAGAGCAACCTCGCACACACCAATGTGAGTGCAGTACAGGAGATCCGGGCTCAAACATATAGGCCCAGTTTGGGAAGAGTGCAAATCCATAAATGCATAGTGCAAAATACATATTTGTAATTGCACTCTTCCCAAACTGAAGCATAAATGAATGATTTAAGTGCAGCGTACACAAGTGCAATAATAGATCCGGACAGTACAATTATGGGCCCCAAACAAAAGAGGTAGGTTTCATTAACTAGTTACATATAAAAATCACCCAAGTCCGATTTTGAACTGGAGGAGTAGTCAGGCTCAGTTGAGATCCTATCACTGTCCAGCATTTTACGCACAAGGTGACCACCCTCAGATTCCAATTTCCAACGCTCGTTTTCAGCTCAGCACATACCACGGTGATTTCAATGATACATAAGCTCTACCATTATTATTCACATTCATCCTAAACTCTAGCTCACCGAAGACAGAGATAACTAAGCATCTAGAGAGTAGTGATAGGATTGTAGTTTGTAGACATATGTCACATGTCTGTTCCATGCACCAAACAGATAAAGCCATTGCGGAGACGACCATGTGCAAAATAAAGCCACAAGTAACCTCATCCTTCGTCCAGACTGGATGGTGCTGTGATGTTATTCTTTCATGGAATAATCCAGCAAACCCCGTATAATGCATGAACTAGTACAATTCTAAGTTTAACGCAAATATTTGGAAAACCTGCATGGTACCGTCATGGCTCTGCAATTCCCCGTATTACGGTGAAGGTTTACACTTTTTGGAGTTCCGTACGTCTTCGGAACCAAAGGTAAAACAGATAGATATGAGGGCATACGTGGCCTAAAAATGCCAATCTACTAGATATGACCTCCTTATGGAGCTCCCTGCAACAAAATATTTCTGATGGCCAATTGTGATGTTCAAAGATAAAGCGCCTTCTGCAAAGAATCACAACATCAATAGACTGTAAACATGTTCAAACCTTGTACTTCAGATTGCATATACACTTCTGAACCAACCTTCCAGCCAAGATAATCCTCAGTCATGAAGAATTTCTTCTGAAGCCATGGGAGAGGAATGGTACTAGCATTTCATGTATGAATTGAACCACCATAACGCTAAACAATGTGGAAAAAGAACAAACCTTGTATTATATTACCACTAATGTCCATTCTTCTTTTATCAATTCCCTCCC